CAAAAGGGTGGAAAAGGATCAACCCCCACCCTTGAAGATCTCCTCAAAGATTGCGGCCATTCCACTGAACTGATATCGCAATGAGCATGTCCTATCGCAGAAAACCTCCATGTTGATACCGTACTGTTTTACCACCCTTTCGAGCTCATCCCCGGTAAGTACTGAGTAGACCTCACGAGTGGGACTCGCAGGAGCACACTGCGTGGACGAACCAGTCCCTTCCTCGGATCTGGTAGTTGAGGGATCCATTCTACTGTAGTCTATAAAAGTGACAAGCAGGGGGTCATTTAGCCCTCGTACACTATTTCGTACGATGACGTGGAAAAAAAAAAAAAAAAAAAAAAAAAAAAAAAAAAAAACCTAGCATGATGCTTCGAGCCGCCATTCATGGCTCGAACCCAACATTCCGATCAATTACGGGAAGACTAACATCATTTATCAACTACTGGGAATAAGAAAATAAAAACAGAGAATGATTCTCACCTCTCAGAATATGAAAATGGCTTCTTCTGCTTCAGATATCAGAAATGCGCTGGTTTGAAAGACAAAGAATCCAAGCTTGCTCTCTCTGAAAAAGACAAGTGTGGTGACATTGCCTGAAATGGATTTGAGTTTTTATAGCGAAGGAAATGACGCTTGGTTTTCCCAAAATCAAAATGACGTTTGGATGGAAAGATGTCTCATCGTTGATCACGACCACGTGTCATAGATCAGTGAGGAAGGGTGACCGTCACGATTCGAGAAAATCAAACCATCATCCTTTTCCGTTGAAAAACTCAAGCGACGATCCTCTCTCCCTCCGCATTAAATGCGCCCCAATCTACATTTAATGTTCTGATAAGAGGTGTCGTTTCAGCATGTCATGCATTTAATGTTCTAATAAGGGGTGTCGTTTCAGCATATCACGTATTTAATGGGCTTGATTGGCACTTATTGCGCACAGGACACATCTGTCAGAGCAGAGGCTATTTCATTAAATGCATCTATATCAAAAGTACAACAGGTAATGCCTGAAGAGGTCAGGTCGCTCATCCTTAACATGCAATGACCATGCAAGGCCGCACTTACAAAAGCGTTACCTCGACCTCTTTTCAAACAGGTTGGGATCACCAGAATTTCCTCGAAGGCTTCCAATCACGGCATGAATTATAGTTTCCAAGGTTCGATCCTCAAACCTTAAAAACTAGGGGACTTCTGTTATGCCTAAAGAATGCGGGGCTGACGTAAGGCTCAATCAGCATGCAAAAGTCAGAACCTGGGTACACCCGCAGCCGAGTCACGTGAAGAAAGGGGTAGCGTGCTTCTGTCAGTGCAGTGGGTGCACGCCAGACCAGCCAGGAGCTGGTGAGCTTCCACATGTCCAATTCCTGCACCAAATTGCGTAAATCACTCTGGAAGGTGGGCAATGGGATATAAAGGAAGATTTGTACGGATAATCCCACTAACTCACAAATTTAGTAATCATAACCTTAATCCATCCCACTATATATTGAGGGTTCCTCTCTCAATTTGGGGATTAGCTAATCTTTTCAAAAAACAACATATTTGCTCTCTCTCTCTCACTCTCTCTTATAATCATTTGTAAAAGTCAGCTCGCGGAACGCGACCTAACCTCTATCATTAATACAACATCAGTGGATGTAGAACTTGCTTCCTTAAGCATCCGAACCACTTTAAATATTATCTGGTCATTTCATTTACTCTCATTCTTTCATTCAGCATGTGTCTTCTAGGTCAGCTCAGCATTCCACACGTGCATTTGATTGGTGTCAAAATCACGCATCAACAAGATATGACATTGACTTTGAAAAACCCCAAATAAAAAAAAAAAAAAAAACAGAAACCCAAAATCTTCTTAAATGTGCTCCATGGATATCATCAATTACTCGACATATAATCTCCGCGTGAATTAGTAAAAAGAAGGTGAGTATAGCAACTGGTGCTAACAGAGGAGGGTGCCATCAGTCAAAAATTCGAGTATGCAGTTCATTGACTCGGTTTGAGTCGTTGACCATGTTGTTCGGGTCGGGTTGACCTATTTGGTTTCTGGGTTGGCTTGACCTACTTTGACCGGGTCAATTTGACCCGTTTTATCCTTGACCGAGTTGATTTGACCCTTTGATCCGGTTTGACCGAGTCTTCTTTACCCAGTTTCTGCAACTTCTAAACCTAGTAGGGAACTCAACAAGGTCCCAAACTTTATTATCCATCATAGAAGAAAGATAGCCTCTCTCTAGGATTTGTAGTTATCACCATTTAAATAAGGGACCTTATCCTCAACCATCATCAAAGTTTGATCAACTGTAGGTATATCAACAGACATGCTTACTAAATAAATTATGAGGCACAAACCATCAACAACAATTATAAGTTTACCAATGTAAAACAAATAATAAATCATAAATGAATCGACATATCATAAAATCTCCTTGTGGGTAAAGACATTACATATTATGATTCATTATTCTTTAATGATCAAACTAGAAATTATTAATATTTCATAATACCTGTGGGCTAGTTAAGAAATAAAAATAATTTCTATTTCGTCCCTAATTAATCATGAAAATATAACATTCTCTATGGGTAAAATGATTATATTAATATGATTAACTACAAAATGATGTTATTAACTTTAATATGATCATAATTAATATTACTTAATGCATATATTATCATAACTTAGACGTTGTGGCTACTCTAAATTAATCAAATATATACGATTATAAAACATCATATAGTATTATTGCATATAATGCAACATAACATAAATCAATACAAGAATAACACATTATTTATGTATAACAGATTAATACATGACATAAAAACCATCACACACGCTGTCACCGATTCCCACACGCCACCGTGACAAGACCACGCGCAGCCACATGACTCCACGTGCTGTCACGTGCTTCTAGAAGACAACATATCATTGCACGCGCCTTCATGACGCTACCATCCTTCTAAACACACATCCCCCACGTGCCTAACGCAAGCACGCTCACCTTCATGCACCCACACACACCATAAGTCAACACATGTTAGTTTGACCCGTTTGACCAGGTCGGGTTGACCCATTCCTTGATTAGTTAACCTGGTTTGACCGATTTGACCTGGTTTAACCCAGTTTGACCGGTTCATTGACCTGCCTGACTCGTTGACCGACCCTTAACAATGGGTGCAACACTGGGTGAACAATCCTTTATCCTAAATCTCTCAAGAATTTTATTAATATAAGCTGCCTGAGATAGTCCCAAAACATGTTGAGACTTATCCCTATTAATCTTAATACCAATGACATAAGACACCTCACCCATATCCTTCATACTAAAATATTGAGAGAGAAATTGTTTCAACTCATGCAGCAAACCTAAATCATTGGTTGCAAGTAGAATTAAAATGTTAGACACAAGTATTAAGGGTAGTAAGTTAGGAATATCCTGAAAGAAAAACATAGAAGGAAGCTTTAATGAGATTCAATGAAAATGGGGGAAAGAAAACAATCAGCTGGAGCTGGGTTATGGACTCTTTAAAAGTCATTAAAACTTAAACACAGTGTTCTCATTGAGACCCAATTGAGATCGGACGAGTTCGTCCAGTGAGTGGTCGCCACGTGGTGAGCGCCTGAGACATCATAGAAGTGTATACTAGCGGAGGAATCTGAACCGACGGCGGCCACATCAGGCCAAACGCGACGTATTGATGTGATGTCTTCTAGGTGCGTGTGGACGGTGCTCGAGTGAGACAGGTTCCAGTCGTAGATGGATATCTGACCTCCGTTCGAGTGAGACACGTAGTTGTTGTCTCTATTTCATTCACTCATAAATAATTTAAGCTTATAAGCATCTACAAAATTTAAAGAGTTACTTGTTTTGTTAAAGTATTTATAAGTGAGTATTTGATAAAATATAGCTTATAGAGCTTATAATGCATTAAAAAGAGTACTATGTTATTTTATCAAACAATAAATAAGATTAAATGATGAAATTTTAAAATTAAATAGGGATAACGTGGTAATATACTTAGTCAAGGTAGCTTACAAGCAGAAGCCAAAAAAAAAAAAAAAGTATCCTCCAACTTCTTATTATTATTATTATTATTATTATTATATTTATAAAGCTGAAAAAATTATAAACAAACAAGTCAATTTGATTTTAGAGCTTATAATATAGTTTGACTAGCTTATAAGCTCATAAAAACATGCAAAGCTCTCGCACCTCTTCCAAATCTAAGTCAATTGAGAGAGAGTTTGTCTTTGAGTGCAAACCTGAGGCCACAAGTATGTGGCAACTTATGGAGATCATTTTCACTCCTCTCATAGAGCTCAGTGACTTCCCTTGGGCATCTATGAAACATTTTGGAAGCAAAGGTCACAGAGACCCTAAAAATAGATGTAGAACTCCCTGTGGTCTCACATGCTCATGAGAACGTGAATCAGTCAAGAACGTTATTGTTGCTACCACAAACATATTGCTGGAATCCCAAACCTGATTGACCATGCAAGGTTGTATCAAAGGAATTGTTGTACCTCCAATTACAAGCATTATATTGGACGCACTCAAGAATCAAGACCAAGTCAACTCCTATTTTTTAGGCTTTTTAGTTTTGTAACAATTTTTAGTTTCCATTCATTGTGTTTGTTAATTAGTTTCCTACTTTTCTGTATATTTTTAAATTTAAATCTTCCTTGTAATCTGTATATATATTATTACGATCATTGAATGAATAACACAGTTCAAAATCATTACTTTTTCTCCTATCATGCTTGCCATTTTCACATGGTATCAGAGCAATAATTTTTTTTTTTTCTCTCTCAGTATTTCTTCACTATTTCTAATGCAAATCCTACCCCTAACATCACATCACCATCATCATCTCCATAGTCATCAATACCTATCAAAATAGATCCTTATGCTATTCATCACTCAGATAGCCCTTCTACTGTTCTTGTTACACCTTTATTGACAGGAGACAATTATGGGCCATGGAGTCGTGCAATGACAATGGCACTTCTTGCCAAAAGTAAGCTGGGTTTTGTTGATGGGTCACTTCCCGTTCCACAGGAGAAAGATGATATTTCCAACTGGGAACGATGTAATGATTTGGTTGGAAGTTGGATTCTTAATTCAGTCTCACCTGAGATCTGTCCAAGCATCATGTATGCTGAAACTATAGCACAAATTTGGACAGATCTTAAGGATCGTTTTTCTCAATCAAATGCTCTTAAGATCTATCAATTGAAACAATCAATCTCTTCCCTCAAGCAAGAAGGTATGTCCGTTTCATTATATTTCACACAACTCAAATCCTTATGGGAAGAACTCAGTTCCATTGTCTGCATCACTCCATGTATTTGTGGTAATGCTAAAAGCAGTATTGATCAACAAAATCAAGATCGTGCCATGGAGTTTCTTCAAGGATTCCATGATCGTTTTTCAGCAATTCGCAGTCAAATTCTCTTGATGGAGCCGTTCCCTTCAATTTAGCGTATCCATAATTTGGTACGTCAAGAAGAAAAACAACAAGAGATTAATATTCGAACAACTCCTACCATTGATTCGGTAGCGTTTCAAGCATTTAAACCACCTTCTTGGCCATCGGGAAAGCGTCAACATCCTTTTTGTGAACATTGTAACAAGCATGGTCATACTCTTACCACATGCTACCAAATTCAAAGCTTTCCAAATATGTAGGTGAAGAAATCAGGGCCACCTCCATCCACTTCCACTACTAATCAATTAACATCTAAACAATACAACAAGCTTCTTGCACTTTTATCCAAAGAGGAATCTGGTGGATCATCAATCCATTTGGCAGGTACAATTCTCACTTTTTTGTCCTCTTGTTGGATTATTGATTCAAGTGCTTCTAATCATATGTGTACATCTCTTTCATTTTTTTCTTCATATTCTATTGTCTATAAAAGCATGGCAGTTCAATTGCCTGATGGTTCTCATGTGCTTGTAACACACATAGGCACAGTTCTTTGTTCACCATCACTTATTCTCACTAATGTTTTTCACATTCCATCTTTCAAATTCAATTTGTTATCTATTTCACAATTAACCAATTCAACAAATTGTGATGTATTCTTTTCACCTTCTGAATGTATATTTTAGGACCGACCAACGAAGAAGAAGATTGGTCGGGGTAGTGCTCGAAATGGTCTTTTTTACCTAGATGCAGATTTAGTTTTTAATTCTGCTTTTTCATTCAAGCATTGTAATAAATTTGACCTATGGCATTCTCGCCTTGGTCATCCATCTAGGTCTCATTTTGATTTCATTGTTAAGAATTTTCCCATTATTATTGCCAATAAAGATTTTGTTTGTGATGTATGTCCGCGTGCTAAACAGCCGCATCTTTCTTTTACTCAAAGATCTTCTTATTCTTCTCATTGTTTTGAATTAATTCATGTTGACATTTGGGGTCCCTTTTCTATCCCGTCCAAAAATGGACACGTTTCTTTTTAACTATTGTTGATGATTATTCAAGGTGTACTTGGATTTATTTAATGAAACATAAATCTGAAACTTTCAACATGTTAATTCATTTTTTTAATCAAATCAATCTTCAATTCAACACGAAAATTTCTCGTATCAACTCTGGTAATGGGCAGATTTTTCTTCCTCAACTTCAAACAATTTGTTCAGACAATGGTACTGAATTTCTTTGTAAACAAATTCAAACATGGTTTCATGAAAATGGTATTATTCACCAACGTAGTTGCATTGCGACCCCCCAACAAAATGGCATTGTAGAACGTAAGCATCGACATCTCCTTGATGTTGCTAGATCTCTACAATTTCAAGCAAACTTGCCTCTTTCTTTCTGGGGTGAATGTATTCTCACTACCGCATTTCTTATTAACAAACTTCCAACTCCGATCCTCAACTATAAATCACCTCATCAAGTTTTAATTGGAACTGTTCCTTCATACTCGTCTCTTTGAGTTTTCAGATGTTTATGTTTTGCTAAAAATATGAATATTCAACATAAGTTTGATAAGCGAGCCAAACCTGGTATTTTTGTTGGTTATCCATACGGTCAAAAAGGATATCGCATATATGATTGCAAAACTCATCAAATCTATGTTTCTCGTGATGTTATATTTCATGAGTCAATTTTTCCATATCGCGATCTTCCATCTCCATCATTAAAAAATTCAATTACTATTACTCCAATTAATGATGATGGAACTTTTGACTACACTACACCACCGATTGTTCCCACTAATATTTCTTCTAGTAATTCTATCCCTCATAATCTAGTTGATTATTCCACTGATTCCCCACTTAATGACACACCCAATTCTTCACCTATTTCTATGGATACTTCCTCTAATAATTCTTCTTCAATGGCACCTAGTCCTCATCTTAATAATTCACCCAACTCTTTACCTATTTCCGAGGATACTCATTCTAATACTTCTCCTCCAATAACACCTGGTTCTATAATAAATAATCATTCTCAACGAATTCGTCGTCCACCAGGTCATCTCAAAGATTATATTTGTAACCATATTTCACTTTCAATTGATTTTCCACCAGCCAATTATTTTTCTTTGTCCCATCTAAGCCATTCTCATCGTGCTTTTCTAACAAATATTATTGAACATCAAGAACCACACTCTTATTCTCAAGCCATAAAATCTGGTGAATGGCGCGATGCCATGGCCAAAGAAATTCAGGCCCTTAAATCAAATAATACTTGGTCTTTATGCTCACTTCCCAAGGGAAAATCACCCATTGGTTGTAAATGGATCTACAAAATTAAATATCGATCCGATGGTTCAATTGAGAGATATAAAGCTCGTTTAGTTGCCAAAGGTTATACTCAAGTTGAAGGAATCAACTATCATGATACCTTCGCACCTGTGGCCAAGCTAGTTACTGTTCGTCTCCTTCTCTCCATTGTTGCCATTAAAAATTGGTCTCTACATCAACTCGATGTCAACAATGCATTTCTCCAAGGAGATCTCAATGAAGAAGTTTATATGAAACTTCCTCCCGGTTTCTCTCATAAAGCTGAGACTCGTGTATGCAAATTAAATAAATCAATCTATGGTCTCAAACAAGCTTCTCATCAATGGTTTTCTAAATTCTCAACCACTCTTATTCATCGAGGTTTTCGACAATCTGTTGCAGACTTAGTCTTTTTACATAGTCTTTTTACATATATTCATGATCAGACTTCTATTTTTGTTCTTGTCTATTCGATGATATTATTATCACTAGCAATAATGATGATGCCATTACTGAAATCAAACAATTTATCGCTCAATCTTTTTCCGTAAAAGATCTTGGCAATCTTCGATATTTTTTAGGTATTGAAGTGTCTCGATCTAAACAAGGAATTTTTCTATGTCAAAGAAAATATACCCTTGACATCTTATCTGATTCTGGTATGACTGGTTCTCGACCATCTGAATTTCCTATGGAACAACATCTTCGTTTACGACCAGAGGATGGTACTCCTCTCCTTGATCCGACAATCTATCGTCGACTGGTGGGACGTCTTTTATATCTTACGGTCACACGACTAGATATACAATATGCTGTAAACACACTTAGTCAATTCATGCAATTTCCCCATTCGACTCATCTTGATGCTGCCAACCGAGTTCTTCGTTATCTTAAAGGTACTGTTGGTAAAGGATTATTCCTTTCTGCATCTAGCTCTCTTACTTTTGTTGGATATGCTGACTCTGACTGGGCCGGTTGTCCTACTACACGTCGATCCACCACTGGTTATTTTACCATGTTAGGTTCTAGTCCTATTTCTTGGAAAACCAAGAAACAACCAACTATTTCTCGTTCTTCTGCAGAAGCAGAATATCGTTCTCTCGCTGCACTTACTTCTGAGTTGCAATGGTTAAAATATCTTCTTTCTGATCTTGGTTTCAACCATTCACAACCAATTGTAGTTCATTGTGATAGCAAAGCTGCTATTCACATCGCCGAAAATCCTGTTTTTCACGAACGCACCAAACATATTGAGATTGATTGTCATTTTGTTCGAGAAAAAATTCAAGGAGGTCTCATTGCTCCTTCCTACCTACGTTCTCACGACCAGTTGGCGGACATTTTTACCAAACCGCTTGGAGGTGATGCTTATCGTCGACTACTTCGCAAGTTGGGTGTTCTTGACATTTCAATCCCAACTCCAACTTGAGGGGGGGTGTTGGACGCACTCAAGAATCAAGACCAAGTCAACTCCTACTTTTTAGGCTTTTTAGTTTTGTAACACTTTTTAGTTTCTGTCACTGTGTTTGTTAATTAGTTTCCTACTTTTCTGTATATTTAAATTTAAATCTTCCTTGTAATTGATATATATTTACGATCATTGAATGAATAACACAATTCAAAATCAATATTATTGAATGAATAACACAGTTCAAAATCATACTTTTTCTATCGTGCTGCCATTTTCACATTAGTATAATTCAATCACACGAAGCGCTTCATTAATGCACGCCGAACGTTATTTTGTCCTCCTGATGCTGCTATTTGCATATTTTTTAGTTCTAATGCTGGCATATTATCCTCCATGAACTTTCCTAATGATATGACGTGACCTAACATTCCAAAGGCTATTAGGGGTAAAGCTGTGTAAAAGAGAATTTTCTGTCCCTGGCCAATGCATTCAGGCTCGTAGTCGTTGCAGGTTCCCGTAGCCCCAGCCAGTAATGGTGGTGTTCACATTGCCAAAAAACCCAAACCCTTCAAAGAATCCAACAAGAAAAAGAAGAAAGATATGGAAGGACAAGATGAACAAAACAAGTCTAGAGTTGTGAAAGTTGACTCAGTTGAGTTTTGGGATTTGTTTGTTTCATAAGCCAACAATCAAGGCTACCCTATTTTTGTGCACTTTACAGCTTCATGGTGCATGCCTTCTGTGGCTATGAATTCGTTTTTCGAAGAGGACGCGGCAGCTTATCCTGATGTTCTGTTTCTCTGTGTTGATTTTGATGAAGTTAAGGATGTGGCATCAAAAATGGAGGTAACATTTGTATTGGTGTACAGGTTCGCAACATTTTGATTACGTGTCTTTGGTGGTTGCCTGCAAGTGTTTGTTTGATTGCAATGGTGAATTATGTAATAAACAGCTCTTTTATTTTTGGAAAAAAAAATTCTAACTATACAGTGGGCTAATATTCAGTTACGAGAGAAAGTCTACAATACAATGATGGTATTGGTGACTGTTAGACGATACATATAAGCTAATTAGTTATTACATTTGATAACCTACCAATTACAGTTATTTTAAAAGTCAAGATTACCCATCTCTACACATTAATGACTTGGTTCTTTTAATCAAAGCTCCAATTTTATATATATTTTTTTTTTCTAAACTACCTTACATAAATTGCTATTGTTACCCTTCGAGACCAACTGTAAAAAAATGTTTTGCCCTATATAAACACATATATTTTAAGATTGAACCCACTTTTGTTTCTTTCTTGCTCACTTAGTAGTTGCAGAGA